GCACCTGGCCAGGGTGGGCAGCGTGGGAGGAGAGCGGAGAGACTGACAGGAACTCGGGGGGCCTTGGCCGTGTAGTGTGAAACCCTTACAAACCCTCAGTCTAAGACCTTCACATTTCAGCCTGGGAGACCTCAGATCCCCTCACCCTGAGAAGCAACAAATCCTCTCAGCCTGAAGTGACCCCAAATCCCGCCACCTTGAAGGACTTCAAATCTCTAACCTGGAGGAACTTAATCCCCTCAGCATGAGACCCCAAAGTACCTCAGCTCCAGAGAACTCAAATCCCTTCACTCAGAGGAACGCCAAATCCTCTAACACGTAGATCCTCAAATCCCCTGAGCCTAAGGAACCCTAAATATCTCACTCACAGAGAAACCACATTTCCCCAGCCTCAGAGACCCTAACACTCTGTCTAGAGACCCTTAATCCCTTCAGCTTCAAAGACTGCAAATAACTGTAATGTCAGAGAATCAATCTAAAGCCCTTTATGAGGCCCCAAAACTCCTTAACCTGAGAGACACCCCCAAAAAGATGCTGGGGGGCTCAGGGGCTCTATACCCTCCTAGCCCTCTGAATGGGGCCCCCTGCTCCCAGGTAGGCTCCTGCCCCCGCCTCAGCCCCGCTGCACCCTCCTGCAGGGTGAGCCCTGTGGCCTCTGCGGCTCTGGCCACCCGACACACCCAACGAGCTGCTTGTTCTGTGGGCCAGAGCTGAACCTGCCAGCGCCCCACACCGCAGTTCAGAAAGTCCAGGAGCTCCAGTAGGCTGACCATGCAGTGTGCCTCCTCCCAGGCCCCTCCCAGAGTCCCAGTCCTGCTGCATCCACAACAGTGGTGCCCACGCCCCAGTGTCCCTGCCATCTTGTCACTGCAGCAGGCTGGGGGTAATGAATACCTTCCCACCTGCCAGACTGGACCATCTGGCAGGGCAGGACAGGCTGGCCTGACTCATGGCGCCCACGAGGCCCGGAGAATGTTTGCTGAGGAGATGGAAGTGGGAGCATGGAGGGGACGATGGGGCGGCTGAGCCCTCGTGGGGAGGATGACCCCCGGGCGTGGCCAGCACTGACCTTGAGCGCCTCCTCCGGAACCCGGTGCTGCACCCGCTCCAGCACATACATGTTGGAATGTGGATGCGCATTAAGGTGAACACAGAGCAGAAAAGCCAAGAGCCTGCGCTGAAGTCCACACACAGCAACAGGTGCACCAGCTCAAGGGCCCATTGAGTCAGGCAGAGGAGGGGCCCCCTTCTTCTCGGGGAGGCACAGCCGTGCCCACCCATGTGCCCGACAGTCCCAAGGTCAGGCCAGGACTCGGGGTCTCAGGGAGTGGTCACCAGTTCCCCGGGCCCCATGTGACCTCAGGCTGGGTGAGTGGGTAAGTAGCAGGTGCCCATGGCCAGGGCATCCACTGGGGTCAGCTGCAGGGACTAGCATTCCTTGGGGTGGACCATCAGCAGGTGGAGCCCAGCCCTAGGGTCATCCTCCATGCTCTGTAGCCCCGTGGGCCCAGCGGTGACAGCTCTGCTGCTGGAGTAGCAGGGTGACTATGGCCCTGGGGACTGAGAAGCCCAGGAGGAAGGGGCTGGGAGGAGGATATCATATCCGAAGCGGATGACGTCGTTGAGCTTCAGTGTGACATATTTCTGGTCCGGGATTCGCATGTCATTCACAAACGTCTGCAGGGAAAACAGGTGGCAGCAGGGTGAAGCTGAGCGGGTGGGCGGCTGTGGGCGGGGTGATGGGGGGCACCAACTCTCTGGAGCCCACGGAGAGCGGGGCCTGTGCAGCACTGTCCCAGGCACCAGCAGCACAGGTGCCCAGCCCCAAGTTCCACAGCTGTGGGCCAGGGGCACTCAGGCACCGGGGCCCACCTAGCACTGCAGGGACCCCAACAGAACCCTCTGGAACAGAACCCTTTGAGCATCTTTGTGAAGTAGACTCCTCTAAGAGGTGCTTCCTCTCAGCCACACAGCCTCGTGCTGGCCCCAGCCCCAACTCCGACCCCACAATATGCTTAGGCCTGCCCTGTGGTGGCCCTTGGCCAGGGGTCAGGCCTCAGCGGGTCTGACACCCCACTCCAGGCTGCCCGCTGGCAGGGGTGTTGATGTGCCAATCCCAGAGGTAGGTGGGAGGCAGGTTTGTGGGCATCACAGGCCTGAGAGGTAGCCAGCGATGGAGGGCCCAGGAGCACTGGCCCAGCTGGTGCCATGCAACCCGGGCCGGCAGCCCTGGGGACCCTCTCAAAGCCCACGTGGCTGACGCAGCCCACACAGGCAGAGGAGCGGCCACTTGCTGTGCAGCCATTCAGGGGCAGCTGCTTTATCAGACAAGCATGCTGCAGGAGGAGGGAGCTCAGGACAGAACCCAGCAGCCTGAGCCCCCTGGCCAGAGCTCCTTGAGGGGCTGCTGAGAGGCCGCTGGGGCCCCCCAGCTCAGGACTGTAGAGTGCAGTGAAGATGGGGTGTCCCACAGAGGCCGCTAGGGCCCCCCAGCTCAGGACTGCAGGGTGCAGTGAAGATGGAGTGTCCTAGGGCAAGTTGGAGTCCACCAAGCTCAGCAAGAGACAGGGACCTCGGGGACAGACACACACCCCCAGAGAGGGGCCTCCATCCTTCCTGCCTGCTTCCATCCTACACCCCGTTCCCTTCTAGTTACCTTCCTGCCCCTGCCACTCCCAACTCACAGAAGAAAGGATCACACCCCCCCAGATTGGGTACCCAAGCACAGCTCCTTCCATCTTAGGGGCCCCATTCCCCAGCCCAGTGCTTCCCTCCCCATCTGAAGGGTCCCTTCTCCATGTAAGCATAGTCTGACTGTTGGGGGTCCTAAGTCCCTGCCAGGGGAAGCCTTCTGGAGAGGCCTGGGGCCTCTGCAATTGGGGATGGGGACAGATCTGGAAGAGGGGCCAGATCTTGGGGTGGGACCAGGGCTGAAAGGGAGGGGCCAGGGTTGGGGGAGGGCCCAGGGCTGAGAGGGAGGGGCCAGGGCTGGGGGAGGGCCCAGGGCTGAGAGGGAGGGGCCAGGGCTGGGGGAGGGTCCAGGGCTGGGGGAGGGCCCACGGCTGAGAGGGAGGGGCCAGGGCTGAAGGGTATGGCTGCTAAAATGCCAGGCCAGGGCCTCTGGCACTCACCCCATTGAGGCTGCCCAGGTCCTTCACCCAGTGCTCGTCCCTGTCCTGGTCATAGTTGATGACGGCATGCTGCTTGTCCACACTGCGGGACTGGGGAGACACACAGCTGGCTCTCAGGTGCTCCATGGGAGGAGATGACACCCAGGAGGCAGAGGCACCCCTGCTCCATCTCCTGCCCTCCACACACCAGCAGTAGCCTCCAGGCCTCCTACCAGAGTGTGCCCACCCTGCCTCCAGACCAGGACTTGGCAAGATGCCAGGGCCACGTCCCCTACCCTCTGCTGCTGCCCCATGACTGCCCTCCCCAGTGCTGCTCCTGGCTGGGCCGTGGGAGTGGTGGGAGCCTTCTGGTCATCTGGCACACACTGTTCCCTCCCAAGGTCAGGTGGTGGCAGCCAGGCTGGCAGTGAGGGGGGCTGTCTCAGGGAGCCCTCCCCTACTCCTGGCCCAGCCCCACAGGGACATGCACAACTCTCAGCCAGCGTCCATACCTTTGGTGGGTCCACCCGAGTGCTGTGGACCCTTTCCAGGCCACCAGTCCACCCAGGACCATGCCCCGAGGACAGGTGCCCCACTGTCCTCACAAGGTCAACCCCAGTCATCCAATTGTAAGGCCACAGCGAAGCCCCCGTCACTGACCCACTGGGGCATGGGGAGATACTTTCTACTTGTTCACATGCTGTGAGCACAGCCACTGCCCACCCGGCCCGCCACTCCACCTTTCCTGCCCCAAACCTGAGAGCCACAGACCTGGCGGGCAGCCTCAGGAAAGGCCAGCAGAATCAGCTGACCCAGGGAAGCCACTGAGTCCTGCCCCAGACAGTGTGTGCCCCTCACTACCACCTACGGAACATCAAGGCAGTGTACCCACAAGACACCAGGCCAGCTTCCACAGGCAGCAATGGGTCTGAAGGAAGTCTCCCAGCCCTGGGACAGGACGGCCCACAGTCCACATGACTAGGACCTGGACATCCCTCCTGAGTGCCAGCATGGCTTCTCGGTCTCCCAGGTGAGAGCGCGGGCCCCTCAGGTTGGTCACTCTCAGCCTGCCATGTGCAGGCCACCCCAGTAGCTGGGCATCACTGCCCCACCACTGGGACCCATCCTTCAACACTGGTGTGGGGCCTCCCCCAGCAACCCTGGCAAGGACTAGAAGCACTCAGGGCAGGGCCTCCTTCCTTACTCAGAGAGGAGAACGCACAGCAGGGGCTGGTGGGGGACACGGGCTCAATGGTCCATCTTGGCTGAGACCTCTGCAGAGGTGCCAGGGCAGGGAAGCTGCAGCTGGCGGGGGCTCATGGTGGCTAGCTGTAGAGGGGAGATCCCATAAGTGCAGTGGCAGGAACAAAAGGCCTCAGCCTATTTCCATATAAATAATGAAGAAAAAAGTAACTAGAAATATAACTGTAGTAGTTATTAGTTATTCATATGTGATCTTAGTTATTCATAGGTAATTGTAATTCTTTTACTAATGCCTCTAGGGTCAGAAGTGTAACCTGGGTTGACATTGTGAAATGAATGACCCTACGGCAAGATGCTCTAAGCCCTCTGTCACGCCCACCCGCCTAAGGGCTGCTAGAGGGTGCCTCGGCTGTGCGGCTGCGCCAGCACTGGGAAAGCACCCGCTGTTTAGCCAGCTAGGGAAGATGTCCAAAATAGCTGAGACGTCTCCTTCGCCAGAGGAGTTAGGAGAAAACTCCGCTTCTCCAAGCTCTTGCAGTAGGCCGGACGGCTGTCAGGGAGGCCCGCAGACATCCGGGGGCTTAACCGTCTCTGTGATGCTGTCCACTATCATGTTCTGCTTCTGCACCTGGCTCTTTGTTCTTAGAAAAGATCATCAGTAATAGTAATATAAATCTTAATGTTTTAGTTCTTTCTTGATAAGTATGGAAAAGGTGCTGATGCATTATGCTCCTTACCTCACTTCGGGTGCCAGAAATTCCTGAGCCCCTACCTGAATGACAGGTGATGTACTTGACCTATCACTGCCATGCCCTATCTACCCTGCCCCCAGTCACTGACTTCCAAGACCGTGCCCTATCTACCCTGTCCCCAGATTTGCAGCTCAATAAAAGTGAGAGCCTCCCGGCACTCGGGGCCGCAGGTCTCTGCGATCTGGTTAGCAGTGGACCCCTGGGCCTAAACTCTCTTTTCTCCATCTCTGTGTCTTGTGTCTTTTATTTCTACAATTTCTCATCTCCACATTAGCCAGGAGCGGCTCACAGAACCCTGTAGAGCTGGAACCTATCTCTGGCACCCAACGTGGCAGTGGACCCTATAGCCAGCAGCACTGAGAGCCAGCCTTATGCCAGTGCCACTGCCACCGAGGAGTGGGCACTCAGAAGCCCAGGGTGCCTGGCTCAAGCCACAGTGGTGGTGCTGCAGTGGAGGGTGGGGGTGGGGACTGCGGTGGAGGGTGGGGGTGGAGACCGCGGTGGAGGGGGGGGTGGAGACTGCGGTGGAGGGTGGGGGTGGAGACTGCGGTGGAGGGTGGGGGTGGGGACTACAGTGGAGGGTGGTGGGGGGATGGGTAGGATCCACACATCATCCTGTCAGGACCCTAAGTCCCCCCAGGAAGTGGGCAGGAGTGCCAGGGCGGTTTAAAGGGGAAAGCAGGGTCCTGGGTGCAGCTGTCCCTGAGCTGCCTGCCCGGAAGAAGACCACGCTTTCCCAGCACCAGGTGAGCCGCTCCACCTGCCCCACATGCCTCCCTGGGAAGGTGGATCCCGGTGGGACTCCTGGTGCCAGCTCACTTGCTAGCCAAAGCCACAGGTCTCTGGTAGAGTGGGTCTGACCTTGACAGAAAAATTAGCTGGGCGCAGTGGTAGGTGCCTACTCGGGAGGCTAAGGCAGGAGAACTGCTTGAACCTGGGAGACAGAGGTTGCAGAGAGCCAAGATCGCATCACTGTACTCTAGTCTGGGCAACAGAGCAAGACTCCATCTCAAAACAAAACAAAACCAGACAGCTTCATGGCTCCTAGCCACCCCAACAGCAGTCTCTGCCGGACGGGCTGGGGGAGGATCCTGGCCTGGGGAGGGTGACGCCAGACATCACCTCCTCCATCAGACTTCCCACCAAGCACTGAAGGCCCCAGACACAGGCCACCCCCAGCACTCACCTCCTCCAAGAAGCCTGTCCTGAGACCCCCTCCCTAGCTCTCTAGGATGGCTGCTAGAGACACCCCAGGCCACTGACTGTCCCGTTGGCAGCCCTGAGGGAGTCCTGCCTGAGAGTGCAGCCTGGAAGCTGGGAGGCCTGGTGCTCCCTTGGGGGTTGGGGCTCACCTCCTCCTGCACCCTGTTCTGTGCACAGGCCAGCAGCCCACCTTAGCCTGCCCGATATGTGGGCTCCACCGGGCCAGAGGGACCTGCTGCTGTCTCAGAGAAAGGAAGCGCTGAGGCTGGGGCTGGGCTAGGCCCCTCCCCGCCAGCATGAGACCTCCCCAGGGAACGGGGTCCACAAGGGGCATAAAGGAAGGAGCTACTGTCCCTGTCCCCTCGAAAGGGGCTGAGGTGGCTGGGGGCAGGTGGTTTGGATGCCATCTCTCTGCTGAGGAGTGACCCCCCCGAGGGGTTTCCAGCCTGGATACCTCCCTGCTGCTCCCCTAGTCTCAGAACCCCTGGGCCTCGGGGCCTCCTCCTGGACACACCTCTGCATATCTTCCAGGCCCTTGGAGCCCCGCCCGCCCCAGGCCTTCCCTGGAGGGCTCACCCACCAAACCCCTCTCCACCACAGGCTCCAGCAAGGCCCACAAAATCCATGGGTTTGGAGTGTCTTCCTTCCTCTCGGCAGCCCTCGGTCAGCCTCCATCTCCACAGCCCCCTTTGCCACAGGCCCTGAGGCCTCTCCAAAGCTTTCTTACCCGTCCCAGGCCACAGTCAAGCTTCAGTCCGATGACTCTGCCAGCTCTGGGCACACCATGTCCCTGCCCAGGCCTGGGTCTCACCTTTAGTCTAGGGCCCCTCCCCTCCCGACACCCACCTTCCTCACCCCACCCAGCCCACCCCAGCTTCAGGCTCCTTGGACTCAGCACAGGACCCCCCAGAGGACCCTCCTTAACACCCGGAGCCCCACCGTCTGGCCCAACCCCAGGTGGACACTTTACCCCCAGCCAGGGCTCTCTCACCAGACCTGCTTCTGCTTCCGCCGAGCCCCTCCCCAGACTGCCGAAAGCACTGGAGACACACAGGGAGCCCCTTCCAGAAACTCCCCTCTCCAGCCCCAGCACTGTAGGCCAGAAGCAGCCCCACACTTGGCCAAGCCTCCAGCCACCCATGAGGGGTGGCCCCCCACCCAGGACTCAAGACTTAAAACAACAGAAACCAGGGCCTGCGGAGGAACTCGTGCAGAAACAGCCAGGCAAACACAGACATGTGACATGGCCGGAAGACGCTCCAAACCCATAGATTTTGGGGCATGCGTCTAGTAATGTGTACTCACTTTAAAACAGAATAAAGATGTTTCCCAAGTTCACGTCTGATGCCCTCTGTGGCAACAGCCTGGCCCAGCTGTGCCGAGTGGCAGCGGCAGCAGCCAGGGCTCTGGACACAAACTCCTGCCACTCACTGAGTTCCCCATGGGTGGCCACAGGCACCCACAGCAGACTGGCCCAACGTGCTGTGCGCAGAGGCCCGGGCCTGCTTGGGCTGTGGTCTCTGGGTCAGGATGTGAGTGTGCAAATCCCAGCTGTCATACACTCCCACAGAGGATGCTTCCCCACAGACCCGCAGAACACACACCCACGTGACACACGCACACACACAGGCATGTGCACAGTGCACAGATGTGTGCACCTATAGACATGTGCATGTACGCACACGCACACTTACACATGCACACACGCCCCTCCACACCCTCTATCACAGCTTCAGCCACCACAGGAGTGCCAGCCACAGCAGGAAGTCCTGCCTGGGTCCACGTCCCTGCATCATTTAACGCCTGTTTGCTGGGTACCAGTTCTGTGCCACATTTGCACTGGGAACAAGGACACTGTAGGGAACAAAGGCAGGGCCCTGGAAAGCGTGGCCCGTGGGACAGCACATGGCTGGCAGCTCTGCTCAAAACACAACTCCTCACCCCTCTGCCCGCTGTGGTCCAAGCTACCGCCCCTCTTGCCTAGTGAAAGCCCAGGCCACGGGGCTGCCCACTCTGCCTGTCTCCCCTCTGAGTCCTGTCCCCACAGCCCAGGCTCAGCTCTGTCCTCTGTCTTCCCACAGCCTCCCCCTCCCCACTGGCCCCAAGGGCCTCAGTACAACGTAGGCAGGTGTCTGCTGACTGCTCAGTCCCCAGGACCACCTTCTTCACACAGGACTGGACCCCAGACACCCTGCTGGCCCCTCTCTGTAATGGATGCCAAAGGAGGGCAGTGTCTCTTCTTGGCACCCTGCCCAGTGGAAAGATGTGGGGCTGAAAGCAAGGACTGTGGAGGGGGTGCTGGGACAGAGTGTGGAGGTTCCAGGACAGGAAGGTGGGTGTGAGCCAGATCCGGAGAGCCAGGGCAGGTGTGGGGAGAAAGAGGCTGGGTACAGTGGAGGCCTGCGTTCCTGTCTGTGCGTGAGGTATGGCGGGGGTGGCACTGGGCAGAGGGCAGGGGACCCTGGCTGGGGCCCAGGTGGAAGGGACAGTGGGTGGCAGGTTTGGTTCTGCCCGAGCTTGGGATGCCTCTGAGAGGCCGCAGTGCAGCAGCTGTCCAGGAGAAGGCTGGAAGCTGAGGACAGGGCAGGCTCCAGGCAGTATGTGGATGGTCTGAGCAGAGGTGGACAGGGCCTCGGGGGAGCAGCAGCGTTTGGAAAGGGCCACTGAGGCCCCCGAGCATGAGCCAAGAGGGTGGGGGTCCTGGCACAGCTGCCAAGGAAGTTGCTGCAGGGATGGATGGCTGGTGCAAACATCCTGAGGTGGGGGCAACACAGGGGCCCAGAAGCCAGACGTGGGGCTACGGGGTGGGAGTGAGAAGCCTCTAGGGCAGCTGCACAGGGAGTGAGTAAGGGTAATAGAGGCCGCAGGGGGCAGGGGTGGGCAGGCAGGAGGCTGCTGCAGGGGCACCAGGAGGCTGCCGCCTTCCCACACTCGCCGCACCTGCAAGGCCTCCCTGAGCCTCAGTTTCCCCACGGAGATGCATCTTACAATGGCCACACCACCCACCCCCAGTGAGGGCCCAGGCCAGCGGCGGCCACCGAGGAGAGCTGGGGAGCCCTCAACGCTCCTACCTGCTCAGGGCTCCACTGACAGGTGCAGTCTGAAATCGGACCCCAAACTCACCCTGAGTACCCTGCTCCCAGCACCTTTTCTCACCCCAGGGAGAAGCAGGCAGAGCAGGCCTGGTGCAGGGGTGGGCAGGAAGACCACCCACACCAGTCCCCTGCCTGCAGGCTGGTTCTGGCTTCTTCCAGAGGCCCCAAAGTGCCTCCTGCAAGAAGCCCTCCTGGCCACCCTAGGTAGAGCAGCGTGGCCATCTCTGATGCCACCCCTGCACATGGACCATAGGAGCCACCAGCCAAATCCGGCAGTGGGCCCTATGAGGCAGTGGGCACAGCCTGCGGCCTGCTGCCTGTCTTTGGATGGCCTGAAAACTAAGAATGACCTTTACACTTTTAAGTGACTGAAAATCATCAAAGGACTATTTCATGACACATGAAAATGATGGGAAATCGATACTTCAACGTCCATAAATGAAGTGCAGGTACTGCCGCGCCAGCCTCCGCTGCTCACGCACGCTCCCTGGCCGCCCCTCGCCATGGCCACAGGGCTGGGCTGCAGTGGATACTTCATGGCCCGCAAAACCTAAAATCTTTACCAGGCCCTTTGTAGAAAACATTTGCTGACTCCTGCCCCCAGCCACCGACTCTCTCTGGCTACCAAAGGCATGAAGAAAAGAGAAAAAGGGGAGAGAATGTTCCAGATTAAAGAACTTCAGAGCGGGAACAACCAACTGCAAGGTGAGAGACCTGCTGGGTCCAGGCTCAAGCAAGTCAGAGGACGTCTGGAGAGAAGCTGGGATGTCAGGACTTAGTCCATCCCAGCTGCTGTAACAAAATTCCTGAGTAATGTGGAAATCACAGGAATGTACTGCTCACAGTTCTGAAGGCTGGAAGCCCAAGCTCAAGGCACCAGCCGATCTGGTGTCTGGAGAGGGCCCTGTCTCTGCTTCAAGGATGGTACCTTGAATGCTGCGTCCCCACGGAGCAGAAGGGGCGAGTCAGCTTCCTCCAGCCTCTTTTTAAGGGCCCTGATCCCATTCCCAAGGGCGAAGCCTCACGCCCTAGTCACCTCCCAAAGGCCCCATCTCTTGAAGCTACTATGCTGGGAATGAAGTTTGACCTCTGAATTGCAGGGGATACAAACATTCCTACCACAGCAGGACACATGCAGCCATACTGGGTGGGGTTGCCCTGGGCAGAGGCAGACAAACACCGTC